AATAGCCAAAAAGTTTCCAGCTAATTTCCAAAATATTGCCTGAGCTTCGGTAGTTAAGCGTATCGGATAATTAGAGGTCTATCGAAGTGCCGGATAAACGAGATTTTATTCATATTATTGTAGCGCTCACCCTAAATCCTGATGTTCGAATTTGCATTAAATCAACCATTTGGAAACTGTATACGATTAATACCAGGCACACCAAAACTTTTGCAATGCCTATGGCATATCTTCTAATTTCTGTTTCTTTACCAGTGAACTCGTGTGGAAAATAAATGAATTTTAACTGTAAATTATGTTTTTTTTATTTTTGGTATATTTTAATTCATGCACATTATTTTCTTGTTATACTCACACGTAAATTTGGTAATTTAGATTGAAATTGTGCATAGGTGGTGTCTATCATAAACATCACAGCTCCTACACCGGACGTCCAATAGTGCTCTGTCGGATAAATTCTTAAATGAATTACTAAGCTATATCATTATATATTATATCAAATATTTATATTTATATCAATAATATATATATATATATATATATATATATATATATATTAGGGTGTTCTTAAAAAACATTTTCGAATTTCTTTGCTCCCACGGGCGCAAAAGCGTCCAAATCAATAAAAAACGATCCTCTATTCGTATTAGCTCTTTATATAAACATTTAGATAGAGCGCACAATAATTTTTATATATAGTAAGTTTCATATATTTATTTCTAAAATGTGACATTAAATGAATTTGTGCGCCATCTGTCGCGTCACTCAAATATTATGATACATAAGAATATTTATAAACCTAAAATAATAAATATCTATTCATGATGGAATCAAGATTAATTTTGCAGCATAATATTCATTTAATTGGTAATGTTAAGACTCAAATTATTATCTTGATTCCATGATTAATAGATATTATAGAACAGCCGACATGGATTTAAGGGTTAGTTGGCATTTTTTCCCGAAAATACAAAAATATTACTTCAAAGATACAGAACAATGAAATTGTGTTCAAGTGTGAATAGCATCAATGTATAATTTATTGAATAGTAAGGGATCATATTTCTAACTACGACAATATTTGGCCGTGGATGACGGTGATCAGGAATATACATACCGAAAAATGCACGAAATAAAATACATATAATCTGTTTTTTCCGCAATCTTAAATAACAATACTTTAGAGTGCAAAATATATCAGTGACGTCAAAAGTATTTAAGCAGCAAAAAATATATAGTATTGAATTTTTACTTTTACACAATTATATAATTGCGTAAAAGTAACAATATGCTAATGGAACTACCCGATATAATATTAATTCTCGAAGGGAAATAGCAGAAGAAAAATTTAGAAAGCAAAAGTATTACGTTTTGCTTTTATTACAAAGTTTACTACATTATTTTTATATAAAATTAATCCAAAAAATCAATTATTTTCTAATCAAAAGTAAATAATTAAATTTGATTCTCAAGTTTTGCGTTTTTACTTTGGCTAGCACTGTTAAAATTACGAGTAATTGAGTCGATCATGTGGTCGATCAAAAAATTTTACAACCCATTATTTAGTTGTGAATTTTTTAGAAAAATTATTTTATTGATAATTTTTAATTTTATTTTATTCATAAATTTTCATATAAAAAAATTAAATGGGATTTGACAAATCCTTAGATGCATAAACAACGCACTATAAAACATATTTGTATCGAGTATTTTGGTTTCAAAGTGGTCGGAGTCGTGGAGTTGTTAAGCGGATATAACTCCTCCTTAAAGCGGAGTCAAATCCGAGTCGATCCGGCTTCGGATATGATAAGCCCATCTCTAATATATATATATATATATATATATATATATATATATATATATATATATATATATATATGTATGTTCACCTGTAAAAGATATAAATGGGCCATAATCTTGACGCACAGCATATTCTCTATCATTTGCGAAAAATCTACTTGACATAATCTCGTATTTCACAGGACCATAGCCTGAACCGTTTATGAAGTTTATACCAATTGCAGTATAACCAGTATCATTAAATAACTCGTTGAATAAATATTTCTTGACTTCAATTTCCAATGTTTTACTATCATTGAACTCTTCCAAACCTAAAAATAAATAGATTCAATTTCATGGCTCATGACAATATAGATATTTTTATGATTCACGCAAATTCACACTGAATGAAATTAGTTAAATGAAATAATATTTCAGAATTTTGCTTATGGACCCTAATTTGTTGTAATTTAATTGTGGTAAAGATTATTTTCATCAAACTACAGCTAGCGTAGTGTATAGACTCATTACATGTTATCAACTGAAATAGTTTTGGTTATATCAATAATAATAACAAAAATATAAATTAAGGAATTTAGGAATATTTACATTTACTAAAAATAATTAGATAATTATTGAGGAAAAATGAAGTATTAGTAGATATCATCTTCGCAACGTTAAATTTTATTTAATAAAAATTACTCACCACCGTGAACATGCCAGAATGATGCATGTATCATAAACATTATGACTTGTTGTGATAAGTCGTTTGCGCAATACATCAGTTTAATAGGTCTGTGCTTAAATAACATTACCTAAAAATATATTTGATAAGATAAAATATATTTGATTAAATTTATTTCAGAGCTTGTTTAACCTTTAATGCAATTATTAAATCATTGCACATCGAATTATTATGCATGCAATTTAAAATCACCTGATCAATATCTCTTAAATCCACTTCAGCTGGAGTAAATATTTTTCTTTCGGGTTTGGTTACGTACAGAAACACAAATGATCCCACTAATACAAGACCTACATCCAATGAAGTGCTGATGGAAACATTTCCGAACATCTACAATTATAAAAAAGTCGATTTCATAATTTTTTTCAAAACAAATATTTTAAAGTCATACTTGAAAAACTCCTAAAAGGAGCAGCTTTATCATGGTCCAGATACGCATTATGACGTTGTTGTTACTATTAATGTACTGTTATTTATACGTTGAGGTTGATCAAAAATATTATACGAATCTCAATTTACATTATTTTGTAGATATTCATTTTTTATCATCTAGAATCGTTTAGGAAATGCCAACGTGATATAAGATATTTTCAAATAAATTTGGTTATATTATGACAAAAACAGATAAACAAAAGATAAAATTTTCATTCTGAAATATAAAGTGACATTACATTTACATAATATATTAAATGTATTATATGGCCAATTAGAAAAAAATATTCGATCGACAAAACAAATTAAAACAGTACAACCACTTACTACAGTTTACGTTTTTTTTAGAAATATTTGATAAAAAATTTCTCATTGAAGGTATATTTGTGCATCCGCGAAAAAAAGTCTGTATTTTTAATATAAAATTTAATGAAACCTAGGTTGAAGTGCTTTGCTCTTTTTGAAATTTAATAAAATTTTGCTTATTAATATTATGATTATGCACCAACTAAAATTTTAAAATGGTTGTACTTTGCCTCAAAACAGTTAGAACATTTTATAATCATATATTTATTAAATTGTTACTAAATATATATTTATATATTCATAACTCTTTACTAAACATAACTCGTATCAATCAAATGTATAACTTATATAATTTAAATAAAAGTGAAAGAATTTCATTTCAGCGTAAATGTACTTGAAAACAACGAAACGTTTTCGCGTTTTTAAAATTGTTAAACAAATTAAATTTATTACGAAAAAACAGTTTGGCTTAATTTTGCCTAATAACATCACGAAAATTTAGTATTTTGACTTTAAAAGGTTTTCACTTGACCAAAGTTGAGAAAAAGGAACAAAAACGACTCGACTGATCATCTTTCATTAATAGCCTCCTTTTTAATTTTATTGAAATATATTTTCAAATTAATGAAATCGATGCAGCTGAAATAAAATTCATGAATTCTGCATAAATATCTCATAATCGAGAGTCAACTTGTTCATTTGCTATTTGAAAAAGCATGTGTTATAAAACTCAAAACAAATACAAATTTATTCAAACATTGTCTTGTCTTTTTAAATAACTCTATTTAACAATATTTTTCATAAAGACATGTATTATTCAAAAAGTTTTCGTTTTTACGAAATAACACAAGTTTTTGCCATCGGCGGTTTTGGCTTGTTTTCGTATTCTTCAGCGCACCTTAGGAATCTCCTTGGCCTGTGGTATCCATAATCTATGGAATCCATAGAACCTAAAATTAAAATATTTAGTATAACATTCATTAAATAACATAGATAGATTCTATATTGATGTTGTATTTTAAAAAATATATTTTGCTTTTCTCAAATCTTACAATGAGTTACTCTAAAATATCTCTAACATGGTCATCATAAAAAACAACCAATCAATTAATATATATTATGCTGACACTATCCCTAATATCTTACCCATTCTTTTCAAATCCAAAATGACTCTTTTCTTGCTCTTGACCTTTTCGCGTTCCAATTTGATCTCGAAGGCTTTCATTACTTGTTTTTTGCTCGGTGGTTTTTCGAAAGTCTTTGGTGCATTTTTCTTCCATGCTTCGGTAAAATGGAAATACATTTCTTGTAAAGAACATTCTGTCACCGCATAATCTTCTACAATATCATGGGTCTCCTTCAGCAACTCCATGGAACGAAAAATAGATGCCCAGTTGAGTTTTGGATCCATCAGCTGGTAGTGCAATACTCCCTGGGTAATAATAATAGGATATATATATATATATATATATATATATATATATATATATAAATTATTTGTATATAAAAATATAAGATTTACTGCAACGCTACTTCTCAATTGGCCAGTCAGTCTCACGGTCAGATCTGATTTTAAATCTTGGAGCTTCCTGGATACAATTAAAAAATATATATAATTTAAGCCTTAGAATATTATTTAAATTTATAGAATTAATTTTATTATTATTTCAACATTTACATATTAAATTCTCCACTGTCTGTTGCTCTAGTTTTAACTATCGCCGTGTATCCAACACCAAATCGCTCTTTCAAATCTTGTATTTTTCCAATACATTTGAATTGGCCTCTTGCTAAAATCGCCAATCGGGAGCATAACAAATCACAATCGGACATGCTGTTGTAAATATTTTTATTTTATTTATATAATGAGACTTAAATCTAATTCTTTTTGTCTTTTGCTTTAAATTGAGTATTCACAAAGCTCCAGATACACACGGTCAATCTGATATCAAGCAGTATTTTTACTCAAAAGTATAGATAAAAAATGTTTCCAAGTGTAGGCTGTCATAAGGTTTTTGATCAAACGTTAATGTTAGTAGCCATCAACTACTAAACTTTTCTATATTATTAATGTTCTTGTACGATATGTCTATTATAAATGGATTTTTACCTGTCTGATATCATAACGATCGCCTTTCCTGATCTTTGAACATACTCCAATAAAGTATAAATGCCATGTTTCGATACTGGGTCAACAGACTTTGTTGGGTGGTCCAAAATTATTATTGGTGCGTTTGATAAATATGCTATGAAAATACTCATTTTCATTTTTATTCCTGGTGCGTATCTGTAGCAAGGATAGTCCTGTATTTTAGTTAATCCTGAAAATAAATTGTTTTTTTTTTATAAAATTCTATACAAGTGGTCACCAGGATATGAAATAATATATAATATACTCTCCAAGCAGTGAGTTACATGATTTGTCGTGCAAAAAATTATTTTTCTACCTAAAAATGAAATCCAAAAATCGATTTCCTTTGCCTGATAATGGCGAGATAATCCTAGCAATGATGTGAAAAATGTCACAACTTCTCGTCCAGTCAGAGCAGTAAATAAAGCACTTTCACATGGACTAAAACCGATATTTCTCATATACTAAGAAAAAAAGGAAAATACATTAGATATAATCGAAGCATGATTAATTAGTAGTTCAAAATTATATATTTACTTTTTTTCTATCTTTCATAAGGCTTAAGTTCATCAAATAAGCATCACCTGCCGATGGATTATCTAAGCCAACTAATATTTCGTATAGTACTCTTTTGCTTGGACCATCTTCCCCGCAAATGCCAAAGCATTGACCAGGCTTCAAAGATATTAATGATATAATATATTATAAGCAGTAGGTAATATTAATTAAATATTTAGAGTGTAAATTCTAGGCCATTCCAAAATTACGGTTAGGCCTTTTTGATATCAATGAAAGACTGATGTGTAACACACAATTAGTTGATCATCGTTCGAGATCATTGAATTTAATAAATATCATTAAAATAAAAATTAAAATTATTTAAATTAAAATATGTAACAGTACATAAAAATTATGACAACCTCTACATAAAAGTTTATGCCCCGCAAATGAATTTTATTCTTCGAGATTTTCTTAAGATCGCGTACGTAATAGAGTACTTCTTGCTGCCATTTATCTGAAACAATTACAAGATTAGAAAATTATTTATAATATTTGTTACTTAATCATTTACCTTTTAGTGTACTTTCAACAATTTTTCTTTCTACAAACACATCTAAATCATCAATATTTGGTTTTATCTTATCGATGCGGGCTTTTTTCTTGGATGTTGTTACATGATATGATTTTTTATTGATAATATAATATAATATAAACTGTAAAAATATTATGAAATTATCATAAGTTCTTATTCATAATGTAATTCGAGTAGAAAGTATATTTTAATACTTACACAGTAACAAACAATATTCAAAACTAGCATTATTACTGGAGGAAGAGATTGATTCAGATATCTGTTATGTGTATAAATACATTTTTGATCATCACAAACCATTTCTGAAAGTATTGGCAAATATTGTAGAAAGTTGTTTGATTTATTTTTCTACTTGAAAAAGTATTAAGCAATGTATCTATTGATATTTAACTATAATCTTGATTTAAATACCCGTGATATACCACATTGAATATACTTTTATTATAGTATACTCTCATTAAATCATAAAAAACTTCACATGCATACATATGCACACGCATGCTTTTCCAATTTAAAAAGTTGGATTTCTTGGTACAAACAATCTTTTCTTTAGACGTTAAAAATACACATGATAAATAGTAAATTAAATATATCTTATAAATCAGATGAATGTTAAGAAAAATAGAACTGGATTTTTTTTCTCAAAATGTATGAAAAATCATCAACAAACATTTCTTACCACAGCAAGCTTTTTGTTCGTTACTGATTATTGTATCACAGGTTAGAAAATCTTTCAAGTAAAAACATCTTCTTTTGTCAAAATTAACGATTTGAAAAATGACAAGACCCAAAGACATCGCATACATCGGATTTATCATCAGCACTCCATCTAAGATGTCTAATCCATATTTATAAATGTCACGAAACCAATAAAGAACTAGGGAAACTGTACTCACTGAAATATATGTAATATTTACATCTATTAATCATTAAAAGTTAATATCCAATATTATGTATAAGGGAAATTTTGCTAGGAGATTTATCATTAAACCAGTTAGCTGTGATAGACGAGTATACCCATCATGTAGAAATGCAGAATTTTTTAAATGGCAGAGCTTATAGGAATTGTATTAACTAAATGTAATTCACTTTAAACATTTCATTGAGTTCTAAAAATTAATTTTATTCAATTCATAACAGAATATCTCTATATATTGCGTGTACTAATAGTACTGCATACTAGAGTGTTGACACTGTTAAGTATTCATTTGCATCAAATATATTTAAATACATACCTGATATATTCATGACAATCATTATGCTATAAATTTTGGACAACTTAGCATTCGTAAAGCTCAATATATAAGAAAATAAGATGGCACAGATTCCAAAAAACAATACTAGTAGCAAAACATAACCTGAAACAAAAATTTGCATCAACTAAATTAAAGGTTGGGAATTCATAAGAATCAGTATTTACCCAAAACTTGGATATCTTCGATGCCATTCAGGAAATATAAAGTTAATATAGTGAAATTCGAGATTAAAATGTAAAGTGTCAAGTCCATCATAAATAATGATATCCAATATTTAAATCGTGGGACGCCGGCGAGTAATATCTGGTGTTGAAAAAAAGTCAATCTTTCCTTTTGCGGCAGTTTTACAAAACGTAGTGTATTTATTAGTAATGCTAAAAATAGACACAAACTAGTTGGTTTGGTATTTAGCCTTGAGGCAAGTTACATGAACTTCCCGATATGTGTAAATAATCGACTTAATCAAAAAAATGTGTAAATAATATTCTTCATTAATCCTACTTTAAAAAAAAACGATAATAATTTTAGCAAAGTTTGACGAATTTTTAAGATTAAACTACTTGTTGTAAGGCCGCAATATTACAGTAAGTTCTATAAGACCATGATGTATATCGCCAAAAAAATTTCCATGAAAATCGGCTTAGTTTTTTTTTCAACAGTTAATTACAAGAAAACGGCTCGGTAGATTTTCACCTAAAATTAATCAGTACCATTCCCAACTAATATCTTTCGAACAGTTTTTGATTTTTTAAAATCGGTTCGGTAGGATGAGCTTAAATGTCGACGAAAATTTAACACTTTTTTTCAACAGTTAATTACAAGAAAACGGCTCGGTAGATTTTCACCTAAAATTAATCAGTACGATTCCCACTTAATATCTTTCGAACAGTTTTTGATTTTTAAAATCGGTTCGGTAGGATGAGCTTAAATGTCGACGAAAATTTAACACTTTTTTTCAACAGTTAATTACAAGAAAACGGCTCGGTAGATTTTCACCTAAAATTAATCAGTACCATTCCCAACTAATATCTTTCGAACAGTTTTTGATTTTTTAAAATCGTTCGGTAGGATGAGCTTAAATGTGGACGAAAAGTTTTTTTCAAATTACAAAGAAACGGCTTGGCAGATCGTTGCACAAAACTGACAAACGATAGTCCTCACCGAAATACATCAAATGGCTTTTAAATTTCTAAAATCGGTTCAGGCGTTTTTGAGAAAACGTCGATCAAAAGTCTAATTTTGACAAATGCCAAAAAGACCATACTGATTTTTGCAAACTTTGACGAATTTTCACAGCTGAACCAGTGGTCGTAGGGCCGTAATATTGTAGTATGTTCTAGAAGACTATGGTATCTATCGTCAAAAAAATAATCATAAAAATCGTCGAAATTTTTTTTTTAAAACTTTATACTTTAAAATTTAGATTTTTTAAACTTTATTACAAGAAAACGGCCCGGCCGATCTCTACCAAAAACTAATCAAGCACGATTCCCAACCAATATCTTTCGAACGGTTTTGATTTTCAAAATCGATTCAGAATTGCGGGCTAAACGTAGACGAAATTTTTTTCACTTTTCTGCCATTATAAAGAACGGCTTGGCCGATCGTCGCACAAACCTGACAAACAATAGTTCTCGTCGAGATACATCGAATGGCTTTTAAATTTTTGAAATCGACCCCAGCCGTTTTCGAGAAAACGTCGATTTACGGCAAAATCTGTTCACATACACACACAACACACCCACACACACACACACACACACACACACACACACACACACACATACTTTTTCCAAATTTGGTCTCATTCGATTCAGAATGGCTTGAAACGTCGAGAAAACATAAAATTAGCGATTCGGATTTTTTGATGAAAACATAAACTTCTCCTTCGGGAAGTTAATTAAGGCTATATATCTACTTTATATGCAGTTAAATTGTTTAAAAGTACTTGATTAAATATCATTTAATCTTTTTTATTGATAAATTTGCGATATTTGAATATTTATTATTTTGAAGATACTCATTATGAATTTTCGCTCTGTAAATTGTTGTTAACCCTCTCCCTAGGAGTATCGCCTTTAGACGACATCCAGTTCTTAATGGAATCACGATTTTTTGGTAAATAAATAAAAATATTTAAGTTTGCTCATTTGTTTATAGTATTAGTATTATATATTCACCTGTTGGAAAAACAAAGTTCATATAAAATATCGAAGTAAGGAGATTGCTACTAAGATTTGATTGATGAAAAATTTTCTCTGTGGACAAAAAATTACCATAAACATATATAAATATATATATATATATATATATATATATATATATATATATATATATTACTTACTTTTTCATTATTCCTGACACAGGAACATTTAAAGCAATGAATGTCCCATTTTTAAAATATCCATGTGTTTTCAATACAAGATTGTTAAAAAAATTTAGTGCATATGCAATTCCATGCAAAGATAAATGATTGTAGTAAACTCGAATATTGTGAAACAACGTTCCATCATCATCTTTTTGTTCGTTAATATCAACTCCAATCTTCACATCGTAACAAAATCTTTCGAAGTCTTCATCCGCCAAGTTTAACAACTCTGATAATAAAAAAAAAAGTTAAATTTAAATATAGCGAATAGAAATATGTCAAATAATCGAATTTTCTGGCGAAAACATAAATTTCTTCTACAGTAAGTGAAATAAAATTTGACTGATTATGGTAGCTTATCCATAAAAATTCAATTTGACGTTAGATAAATAGTTAATGCGCGTTAAAATCGATATTTTTTGTTTTGGTTTTATTAATAAAATATACCTGTGAACATGTCTTCATCCACTTCGGTGGTTGAGAACTGAAATTGATCTTTCATAGACTCCATCGTATCAGCATATTTTCTGGTTTTACTATCAACATGGTAGAATATTCTGAGCCAGGATCAGCACGAAGATCCATTGTTCTAGTAAATGTTTCCGGATAAACCGGATCTCTCAAAAATAATAATATGATGCTAGTGGTTTAAAAAGTATATTGAGTACCTAACACAGAATTATTTAAATTAAATTTCAAACTCATATTTAAACTTGTCTTATTTCTACTTTGAAACTTATATCTACCATATGCAGAAACAACCTCGATCTTTCCACCAGCATAAGAAATTCTTCGTAAGTAATGTACGTAAATGGTTAGGTTTTCTACGAAATTTTTCGTTTAGCATCTGTTAGAGAATTGTGTCATTAGTATTATTTGAATTAAAAAATATTATCAATTTTTTACCAGAAAGTGACTTCTGACTCATCATTTGAGACATCACGTTTGTCGATTGCATTCCTTCATGAGTCTCGATGATTCTGTATTATATTGTATTTAAATTGTTATATATATATATATATATATATATATATATATGTGTGTGTGTATATATTAAATAAAAAAATAATAATAAATTTTATATAATAAGTATATATATATATATATATATATATATATATATCACGTGTTAAATGCGCACCGTGTAATATGAAAACCGTATTATGAAAAGCTCAGAAACAATGCGAATTACAGAATCATTATTATCGGGTTTGGGTCAATATTGGTTTGAGAAAAATGACTTACGTGAGAAATACTTCTTCCAGGGGTACAATCGAAAGTTCAACTCGTTCGATGCCAACGTTATATTTGTCTTGAGCCAAAGCCACGAAGAAATCAGCAAAATTGACAACCATTTCCAAAGGCAGATAAATCTTATCACGTTAAATACCGTGTGCTAAAATATTATGTAATGTATAATTTAAACAACTGATCATAAATTCCGTGGTGTTAGTCATTTAATAACTTTGGATAAAACTGGGCAATGTAACATTTTGCTAAATTGTTTAAAAAAAATAATATGATTACCTTTAAACTGCTTTCGGCAAAATAAGTCTAACATACTCCTCAATTTGTTTCGACGAAACAAAGTCTAATTTACTAATCGTTAAATTGTAGCCAATGCCCTAATGCATTTTCAAGAAATATATACTTCCATTACAAGCAAGTTTTCCATGAACTAAAATAGCAACTCTGTCAGCTATAAAAAAATATTATTATAAAAAAATGTTCAAACTCAGAAGAATCCAAAGTTTTTTACTTTAAGCTGCACTACTCAGTCCATCATCATAAATTTTGAACAATCAGTAAATAATCATTGTATTTGTTATCACTACCTAAAACATCAGCTTCTAACATGTTATCTGTAGTAATTATTACTGTTTTTGTACCACGTAGTTTCTAAAGAATACATTATATATAGTCATTCGAATAAAATTTGTTGAATTTTCAAATTGAAACTTAACCATAATTATTCTCCACTATTTCTTGTCTTGCGTTTAAATCCATTTCTCTTAGCAGTGGTTCGTCCATGACAATATAATCTATAAATAAAATTTAGAATTTCTATAAATACAATAAAGAATTCACATTTTAGTGATGATGAGGAAAATCATTTTGTTTTGAACACAATTCTATTTTATGTATATTACAATACAGTATATACATAGATACAAGCTATAATATTAAATTTGGATGGAGTGGATTGTAGTTAATTATACTCACTTTTTTTCTTAAAACTAATGGCAGTCAGCAACAACAAAATTTTTATATCGTTCTAATTCAACCAAATTTAATATATCCATAGCTTCCATCTTTGCCTCTTCTTTACTCGAACCTTTCAGCTGCAATCACACACAGAAATTAGATAATATAGTAAAATACTTAATCAAATTACGCTAAATAATACTTCTGACATCCATATAAATCGAATCATGCGAATCATAATTGGTTCAATTATAAGAATCTAGTTAGACTATATTCCATTCTTAAATAGGAAACATGAGTAATTACTATTATTATAAATTAAATTAGCATTAACCAATATACAAATTCACAAAATTAAGAAGTACAACAAACCAACTCGAAGATTTAAAAAAAATAACACTTGTATATTGTAGCAAGTATAAATAACAGGCATGAATTATATTATTTACCCTTCGAAAATAAATCAACTGCTGTATAACAGTGAAATAATGAATATACATCAAATGACTATTACTCAATCCTATCATTGTACGAAGAAGTCGTTTATTTTTAACGGCTTGTCCATCAAGAATTATTTCGCCACTAGTTTGCTCTACTATTCCTGTAAATATAATAATAAATGGAAAATTTCATAATATATTTATGCAATAGTATATTTAATACCATAGATCGATATAATATAAAAATCTGTTTTTTTTTTCTTTTCAATTCTTTTTGTTAAAAATTAGACTTACCTGCTAGAATTGAAGCCAAAGTACTTTTTCCTGAGCCGTATTGTCCTAATAGCAGTTATTTGGTATTTATATATATTCAAAGAAATTCCTTGCAAAATTGATGAAACTCTTCCTGTAATATTTAATTGAATAATCTTAGATCTTCAATTTGTAATATAAATTATATATCCTTTATGTAGATTTTTTTTTGAATATTACCAACAAGGTTCACGTGTATTTTGTGAATGTTATTTAAACATATGGCTGGTGCTTCATTTTTATCCGTCACTTGGAGGACAACCCTATCATTTTGTGTTTCAGGATATATGTTTCTAAATCTTCTGTTCATAAAAAGCTGCGAAAAAATGATTAGCTCGATTTTATTTCAATTGATAATACTATAAGTTTTTAAACTAGTTGATAAAAATATTTTTAACGTGGTCGAAAAGATTTTCAAGAAAGCAATGCATCATTGAATATATCATAACTTACACCATGTTTTGGTTAAGAACATCGCACACAAAATTTTAGTATCACATTTATTATTTAAATAATAAATTGTTATTAACTTCTTTAATGAGAAGTTTTTGTCTGAAAATCAGATTTGCAATTTTTAAGTCTTCTCTATGTTTAAAGTCATTCTAAATCGTTTGACTAAAAAATAGGAAAAACATATGTTTGTAAGCGAAAATTAGACCTTACGAGGACCTTTTCTTAAACACGGCTGCACCGATTTCAAAAATTTAATTTGATGAAAATTGTTAGGAACTATCGTCGATTAGTTTTGTGCAAAGATCGGCAGACAAGATAGGCAAGTTACCTCAAATAACTTGCTGAAAGTCGGAATGCCACTTATACCTGTTCTGTTTAAAAATTTTAATCCATTTATATCTTATTTTGCCATATTAAATTAATACGAACCCCACGTGCAAATAATTTTTCCGGTATATATTTCAAATCTAAATAATCGTAGTTATATCCTCGCATTCCATGTATAAATAATGCCAGTATATAGTACACCACATATTGCGCAAAAAATATACTGCATATTATCGAAGGCGTATAGAGATATATTTTAAATTGATGAGTGTCGAGTAGAGATGCTTGAAGATCTGTAATAAATATAGAAATTAAATTGTTCAATAAATCATTCAATTATTGTGCGACATCACTTTAAATTATATTCTACTCGGATAATATGTTACTAAAAAGCGGATAACAAATTGCTAATTGCTAATTTTGGAAAGCAAATGTTTCATGATCCATTTAACAATAAATTAGTTATCTAAACGATCTACTTACATCGAACTTCATAATAGCATAAATCGCAAAATGCCCTGATGAAAGTGGGTCCTGGATGCACTGCGAAGTACCAGTATTCCATCAGCCGCAAAGGCTGACTGCCTTTCAAGGGATCTTCTTTAAATATTGACATATGTATCAACCAACATGGTAAATAATTGCATACGACTGTCAAAAGTGCTAAAAAAATATAATCAATGGTTATTTATCCAAGAATGCCCATTATCGATTATGATGATAGAAATAGCTTTCATCAGTTCTTTAAGGTATTGATAAGAGATAAGACAGAAACAATAATTGAAAAGAAACGCCTATATTATATAATTATTTTCAATTGGTGTTAGCCAAATTACAATATTATTTGAAAGTAAAAAATATGGACACCTTAGTTACTTCTCGATTACTAGAATATTTTAATATAATTTTTTAAATATATTTTCGAACATTTTGTACTCACCATCATCAAAAATTTCCGCCATCAAACAGCTGAACATGAACATTGATAGAACGAATAAAAATAATATCATGAATAACAAATATATAGGTACGTGTTCAAATAATGCATAGTGAAGGTAGATTGATACAGGCACCAATGATATAGTTAGAAAAAGATTCGCCATAATATGTTCCATAAGCAAATAATAAAACGCTGATGCACCCATCATGATGTGAACACTCTGTAACATTGAATATGAAGTCAATATATAAATATTAATCGTGCACATTAGTTTGTGTAATGATACGGTTGAATGTGTCTGATTGAACATCATAAAATATATTTACAATAGAATCTAACCAATTCGGCACTATTAAAAACCAGAGGAATTTTTGGGTTTCTAGTAATCTATTGGACTAATTTCCAAAAAAAATGGCCAGCGCGTCGGTAGCTGAGCGTGTCGGATAATTGGAGGAATCTGTCTATCAAAGTGCCGGATAAGCGAGATTTTACTCATATTATTGTAGCGCTCACCCTAAAACCTGATATTCGAATTTGCATTAGTTCAATCATTTGGAAACTGTATACGATTAATACCAGGCACACCAAAACTTTTGCAATTCCTATGGCATATCTTCTAATTTCTGTTTCTTTACCAGTGAACTCGTGTGGAAAATAAATGAATTTTAGCTGAAAATTATTTGTCTTACATTGTTATTGCATTTTAATAAATAATAGTTTCCTGTTATACTTACTTCAAGAGGTGGCATTTGAGGGCTCATTAAACTCGAAAACGTATAGTCAATAAAAAACATAACACCTGCTACACCGGACGTCCTATATTGTTCTGTTGAA